GTGCATACAGTATTAAACGACACACTTTCAGTTAATTAATTTATCTCAAACTAATTGCCACACGTTGAATCTTTGAGACCGTTGAGGGTTCAGGACCACTGAGGCAGTTGCCGGCTTTCTACCCTCTTCTTCAGTTGATTCGCCTCCACACTAACTTTCCATCTTCACTGTCTATTCGCAGAGCCCTTAAGACTTATTCCGATACTCATCTCAAACTAACTGTGCTCTCTGGCAGCTGACCCTTTTCCTGTCGATCAACAGTCTCGGTGCCCTGTGTCTCGTATCAACGGCAGTAGGAGTGCAAAATGGAGCGAAAGGTCAAGTAGGGAACTTCTTGTCCAGGTTTCAGGAAGTAGAAGGTGCCAGAATCACACAGTGTTGTACTGGGTAGCCAGTTGGGGCTTGGTTTAAGCTGTTTTCAGTGTTTTCAGATACAGATGATACACTGTGGTCAGATTTGGGTCAGATAATCACAAAATTTCACACAGATTCGCTGCATAGTCAGGACAATACAACTATTACAAAAGACAATCGGGCAGAAACCAATCACTTGGACCTCTGTGACTGAAATCTTGACTCAATCTGATGCTCAGAACAGACTAAAGCAAAATCTTAGGAACATTTTTATATATTCTCTGAGTCCTGACCATTAAAACCCAGACAATGCTCTGGTTTAGAATGAGCTTCATCGAGAGAGGGCTGAGGAGAGCCTGTTAGTGGCCTGGTTAAGAGCATTCAAGGCAGAGTGAGGGACTGGCAGTGCCCTGGTTAGTCTGTCATTAGGAATGCGTCTGCATAAAAGGGGTCAGTTTCCCTGCCTCACAGCCCCTTACCCCCCTCAAGGTTTTCCATAATTGTCAAACAAAGCACAGAACAGGGGAATGAAACTCTGCGCTCAATATGAGCCAAGCGCTGAATACCTCAGCAACCGGCCTCCCACCTTACTTCCTTCTCTCCCTTCTCTATGTTTCCAAACCTGTTCTTGGCCAAACAACTCCTCATCTTTTGCTTTTTATGCTGCAGTCTTGATGATGAGTAATAAATTTAGGAATATCCTCCTGATTAATGAGTATCCAGGTCTGGAAAATTAAAGTAGTATAGGAAAATTAGAGTTTATGAGAACTTATCCATGTGGGTCACGGCTCTAAATGGAATGAATTTGTGATTTAAGACTAAATACTGATGGCCTACATTCCCTCTCCATCATTTCTTCAATTCTCATCTCCCTTTTCCTCCACTGGTTTCTTCTCTTCTTCTCCCCGCCTCACCCGCCGTCCTTCGTCTTGTCGTGAATGTAGCTAATGAGGCCCCAGCCCTGCGATAAGTGAATCAGGTATGTTGATTGGTTTGGCAGAGGCGGGCCCTTGCCAGAGTCGCTTTGCACGCACCGCCGCCCCTTAAAAGCGCCCACTTGGCCATGCTGGTGTGCGTGTCTGAGAGAGAGATGGAGCGGAGAGATGAGGGAGGGAGGTAGAGAGCTGGCAGAGAAATAAAGGGAGAATGAGAGGAGAGGTAGGCAGCCTGCCAAGCCAGGAGTAGCTGGACCTAACGAAAACGTCATTATTAACCAGGACGAGGCTCGACCAGAGTCGTTCTCAGAGTTGTTGAACTTCAAAAATCATATGTAGGCATCCAAACTCCAATCAGGAATCTGTTGAAGCCAAAATTATAAAGACTGAACCTGAAGGATGTTTCATTATTAAGAGGAACAGGACAGTAGGACCACCAGATCGTAAAAATATTAATTTACTTTGGTGTCCAGAAATCACTTTTTTTCTTCAGGCACATTGTAATTCTCTGAAGTTTTTCAGTGGTTTTATTTTCCCTGAGTTGCATAGTGCAGTTTGAAGAGCTGTCATAAAGAATTGAACTATTTTTGTTGCCAACTAGCGCTTTCTGTTTTTAATGGATATATGGGAATTTTTCATAGTATTTTTACTCCACTGGAACGGGATCAGTCAAGACAGGTTTGGACCACAGCGACCACCTCAAGACAACAGAGAAAAATTGGTCTACAACTCACTTAACAAGCCACAGCTGGGCAAAGCTAATGTAACACAAAATGACTTTATTGACTAAGGTGTTTTGGCATTCAAGTGGACAGCTAGGCTAGCAGTTTTCTCTCCAACATTTTTCCCCATTTGTCTTTTCCCCTGCTCCCTCTTCAATCCACGTTCTTTATTTCCTTAAAATCTTGTACTGCACTGAGACGATTACTAAACCACTAGACCTCATGAAAGTAAAGAATAATTAAAATGCTACAGCTAAATGTTTTTGAGTTTAGATTGAACTTCTTCATAAAGTAATCGTTGCCATATTGACTTTCAAAGCTTATTGCCTTGGTTTATGTTCAGCAAGACTTTTAATGAATTGTGGGAAGAGTGGTTTGGGTTTTTTACACCAAATGAAACGATAGAAAATATACGAAGCAATGCTGGAGCAAACCATAATGGCAAGTTATACCTTGTTGTATACCATGTTCAAATACATAAAAAGATTTAGTAAATTTACTGCTCTAATTGATGTTTTTACAGCGTTAAAAGTGATTTAATGTAAAAGAAAACTACAGTAGCCTCTATGTGTAGTGGTTTTTAGCTGTAGAAAGGCAGTCTTTGAACATGGTACTGTATGTGAGGAGGAAGAGGAGACATGTAGTGGTGGCTGGTTGTCATGGGATCGATAAGTGATGATGTGTGCAGATGTTATGTTCTAGCCTCGGGTCAGTTTTGTTCTCTTGCGGTCAGTGGGGGAAGCTCAGCATAATGACGGGGGGAAGGGGAGTAATGGGATTTAGAAGGAGCAGGAAAGCCCGCTACCTGAATCATGCATAAATCTAAAAGCATCTGCTGTTAGATTTATGGAGGTCGTGCTGACAGGTAGACTGCTGTGTGCTAATAGTCCATGTTCTCATCACATTGAGCCTCGCTGGGTCCACAGATGGGGACTAGCAAATTGTAATGGCTGTAGAAACATAGATATGAGCCAGCCTGTGACATAATTGTACTGACTACCAAGGTTAAGGACAACACAGCTTCGATATCCTTATTTGTAGCGATTATTGCATCAGAGCGAATTTATTTATGCCTGATAGTGTCTATTGCAAAGTGAAACCAAGTGACCATGAATGGTGTCATGTTGTAACGGGCCTGAGATGTGGTTACCACGGTGACGGCCGTGTATGTGTGCAGATAGGGTATGTGAAGGAGGCTGGTGTTATTGAGATATGCTGCTGTCAGCAGAAGCAGGCAGGCAAGCGGAAATCGATGTTGGATACAACAGCAGGGAGAGAACAAAGTGTGTGTGTGTGTGTGTGTGTGTGTCTGTGTGTGTGTGTGTGTGTCTGTGTGTGTGTGTGTCTGTGTGTCTGTTGTGAGTATGTCTGTGCAGGCATGTTGAAACCCCCATACTACACAGGTGAGTCCTTCATAGGACACACAAGGTGAAATACATGGTGGTTCAAAGGAAAAAAAGGAAGAACTGTGCAGTTCATGGTAATTGAAAAACCAATTCCCTGTCATATCTGTAATTGCTATAAAATGTAGCCAGAGTAAGGTTTATTTGTGTATGTGCCAAATTGTGTGTGTTTTTATAGTCCATGCGTTGGTGTTTGGCCTCATTTGTCCTGTCCTATGGTTTGTGTCATAGCAATTAGATGGAACTGTAAAATCATACAGTATGCTTTCTGTGCTCGTCTGCTCCAGTGTGCAGTCAGCTAATCTTCTCTCTCTCCTTTTCTTCTCTTAGAGAGCTGAGTTTTGAGAATGCAAATGACTGTCATTGACAAATTAGCAATGACTAACTGTTGTTGCCTGTGTTCCTCCTACAGATGACAGATTCCCCTGCTAAACACCACTCTGAAGGATCTTCAAAGCTTTAAAGCGACAGTCACAAAAAGAAAACAAGACAGGCCGCCCAGAGAAAAGAGTATTTCCTGGAGAGCCTAAAGGACTACCACACAAATGTGGACCTCCCGAAACACTGTCATCAAATAATCTGAGCAACAAATCAAACACAACCGATAAAACATAGAGGTTTGTAGCCATGTCTGATCATAAAGACATGACACATCGCCACTTGCGGCACAAGCTACAGAGTCTTGGCCGAAGACTGGATGAACTTGAAGAAGCCACCAACAAGCTGCAGAAGTCTGAGGACGAGCTGCTCGACCTACAGGTCAGAACTGGTTGATTTGTGATGGTGTGTTTGTTTGTGTGTGCTTTTCAGAAGCACAGATTGCAGTGAGGTACAACAGAAATGCAGTGCAAGAATAGATTAATGAATGGCTGAACTCTTTCTCCACTACAGGACAAGATCATCCAGGCAGAGGGCAGCAACTCGTCCCTGCTTGGTGACATCGAGGCCCTGAGGAAACGTCTCCTGAAGATCCAGGGAAAAGATGAGGAGGTACGCAAAGCTGAGGACCTCTGCCGCACAGTCAGAGAGAAACTGGAAGAGGAGGAAAACCTTACAAAGGAGCTAAAAGCCGAGATCGAACGTTTACAACGGAGAATGGCCGAGTTGGAGAAACTGGAAGAAGCTTTTGGGAAAAGCAAGTCTGACTGCAGCCAGCTCTGCCTCAGCCTCAACGAGGAGAAGAACTTGACCAAGAAGCTCTCGTCTGAATTGGAGACCCTCAAAGCCCGTTTGAAGGAGGTGGAAGGGTCTGAGACAAAGCTGGACAGAGCAGAGCAGGCTTTGGCTATGGAGCTTGAGAAGCTCAAGGGATTCACCCAGACTTTTGTGAGTGAGCGTAAGAGGCTACTAGAGAAACAGAGAGAGGACGAGAAGATCATTCTCAAGCTGACAGAAAAACTGGAGCTCCAGAAGAATCGCCTTGGCATGTCAGCAGACCCTGGCCGGGCAGATCTCATGCGGACACGAATTGAAGATGAGCTGTCATCCACAGGGATCCTTACGAATAAACTGGCTGGACACAAGAAGAACCTTGAGTACTTCAAGTTGCCTGATGACAACATCAGTCTTGTGAACAAATCTGAAAACGAGAAGAACAGCAGTCTTGAAGGCTCACAGGAGGAGGACAACAAAGTAAAGGAGCTGACACAGGAAGTAGAGAGGCTGAAGAATCGCCTTAAACAGCTGGAGATAGTAGAGGGGGATTTGAAGAACTCAGAGTCCAAAAATTGCGAACTTCTCGAGAAGTTCCAGATGGAACGAAACCGGGCTCGCCAACTGAGTGAGCAGGTGGAACAGCTCAGGACGCTGCTGTGTGGAAAAGGTGGAAATGGAACCAGTAATATGGAGAAACATGGCAACGGAAGCAGTAACATTTGCCCCAACAGCCCTGCTAATGTCCTGGAGAATGGCAAAGCTGAGAGTGAAGAGATTATTGTGAAGGGTGGTTTCAGACAAGAGAAGCCTAAATACAGGAGCGCCGCAACTGTCTCAGAACCGAGCTCCCCCAAACACAGGAACAGGGAGCTCTCTCCTCAGCATAAGAGAGAGACTAAGCTTAGGAGCAAAGACCTGAGCCACTCAGAGGAGAGCTCTCCTAAGTCTGTGAGGAGAGCCCTCAGTCCTGCTCACTCCGCTCACAAAGGCAGGAGGACACCCAAAACTACTGCAATTTCATCTGATAACGGAATAAGAGACACAGGACGAGGAACTGAGGAGAAGACGAGAGGAGCCACGTACAGCTCTGTAAATACAGCTTCTAGTGATATCAAAAAGGTGTCTGTTCTTAGTCGCTACCCTCCAGCTGCTAATGACCAGAAGCCAATGAGGACAACTCACAAACAGACTGATGGGGAGACAAAAAAGACCAGAGTAGACAAGTTCTCAAAGTTGTACGTAGGTAGTGACAGCGAATCGAACAACTCTGATGTAATGCCCGACAGCTCCAGTAACATCAACAGTATCTCTGCACTGGAGAAGGACACAGCGTCTGCCTCGGATCAGGAATCAATAGACCAGGTTCAGGAATCTGTCTCGGTCGCCTCCTCCCTGTCCAAAGCCAATGGATCGTACACAGCCTACAGATCACACGTCACTCCTCTGCAGACCAACGACCAGGGGTCAGAGGGTCATTCCTCTGCCTCAGAAACAGAATCTACTGGTTCAAGGCCATCTGAGCCAGAGCCCGTGATTGAGAAGACTACTACAACTGTAAGCAGTAAGACCTCAAGCTCAAGATACCCAAGATACTCCCATGTCCATGACTCGCATTCAGAGGGCTCTTCTTCCAGGAGCTCGTTTGACGAGGAACTCCACAGCAGAACACAGTCAGCGGAGGGGGGCCAGCAGGCGCCCGTGCTTTCTTCCCAAGGGATTGAGATCCAGCGATTGTGCAGCCCACGTGAGGCGCTGAGGTCAAAGGCTGTCATCAAGCCTGCTATTGTTGAGATTGACAGGAAGGAAATGATGATTTCAGAACCTTTGCCTACCAACGGCAAACCCAAAATCTCCACCAAACCAGTTGTGACCACCACTAGTAAAATGACCAGTAGTATAACCATCTACCCCAACGACCCGAGCTCTTCCAGAACCAGCAGCCGCAGCAGCAGTGTGTGCAGTGAAACCATGCCTGTCAAAGAACGCCACACTTCTACCAGTAACATCCTCATAGGTGAGTTTAAACAATACACAAACCAGTTTCCCTTCATTGAACTCTCCAGGCACTTTACACACATACGATCTGTAAGAAGCCATCTGTAGTCTGAAATCCTGTCCCGGTGTTGAGAAGTTATTTTCTGTTTTCATGGATCAGTTGAAGTACCACATGATGATTTCTATAAAAAAAATGGCATTAATGTTTTCTATCGGCACTATCAAAGAATTAAACTTGCTAATACATAACACATAAGGTCTACAGCCTGACCCAACAGCTCTGTGAGGCTACACTTGAGCTAAATGCCAATGTCAGCGTGTTAACATGCTCACAATAACAATGCTAACATGATGTTTAGCACATATAATGTTTACCATGTTCACAAGAGCATATTATGCAAACATTTCACTGAGCATTAAACACAAAGTAAAGGTGAGGCTGATGAGAATGCCATTAGTTTGGCAGGTTCTTTGGTCATAAACTGAAGTACTAGACAAAGACTGACATTACCTAAAAATATATTTATATTATGAATAATATTTCTTTACTTTTGCATCTATAAAATGATTTTCTCAAAAATATTTGATATCATTTTACTTATTGCCAGGTCCCAGCAATGAGCACCATGGCAGTATTTCCGTCCCATATGAAATCTCCATCCCAAAGAGTGAGATCACCTTGCGACCTTGCCAGGACCAGGACTGTGGGGCAGACAACCACAGTGATTCTTCATCAAGGTCCAAACTCCACAACACTTCCAGAGTGGAGACCACCACCAGCCATCTGTGCTGCCAGCGCAGCAACCTCAGCCTCCAGTCGCCGGACGCCACGTCCGCAGACTTCAATGACACAGAGTCAGGCTTCGAGAGCAGCAGCAGCAGCACCACCACGGTCACCAGCTGGAGAAGCCAAAGACAAAACCAACACTCCCAAGAAGACAGTTTACCAGATATGAAAAATGTGACTGTGAGAAGCACCTGGAAGAACAGAGGCACTACGTCAGTGGATGAGATAGCCCGAGGAAGAGGAGCCACGAAGACAATGACAGATGGTGGGTCTGAAGACGAGGCAGAAGCCGCAACAACATGGAGGGCTTACCGGGCAACCACTTTTGACATGGAAGAAACGATAAACAGTGGCACAGTAGCTGGTGGGAATGCTGGAGCACAGAAGGGAGCCAAGCCATCCCCCGCAGAGGTGAGAGAATGACCGCAGTCCTCACACAAAAGTGAAAAGAAATTGGAGGAAAGGGGTGTAAGACTTCATGGCTGCATTATGTTGCTCTTTTGTGTTTCTCGCTCTCCTAGGTGTACATGCGTAGGATCAATAGTGGGGTTACTAACACTAGAGAAGTGGAGGAACCAGTGCCGCGCCGAGGCAAGCGCTCTCAGTCTCCCACCGTTGAAACAGGAGGCCTGGGAAGGACCGTACCCCACGCACCTGTGACCTCCCAGTCCTGGAGCCGATCTTACACACAACAACCACCGGTAGGACAACCAACTTTTAAAGGGGATGCACAATGTAGAAACACAAAGCACAAACCAATTTTCAAGGTTTGGTTAACTTTTTACTTTTTACTTCATCTTTTGACTATAAGGGAGGAAAACAGGGTCTTCAAGAAAGAACCAACAGATGCTAATAGACCATGTGTTAGTGATAACTGCTGTTGTTTTGGACAACAGAGACTATTCTAACAGGAAAAACTATTTTTTTTCTGTTTGTCACAATTATTATGACAAATATTTCCTTAAATGTATGTCTTTAGGTTGTTGTAATTCACTGACACTTTTGTCCTGCCCCTCTCATTCATTGTAAATTTCTCACAAACATTTCTGGCAAAAAACAAACATCCTCCAAAGCTGATACTGCAAATGTGGCTTCAAAAAAAGTCTCTGTCAGATAAAATTTTCTGTAACCCTCTGCAAATAGTTTTGTCTCGAAGATAAAAGTCCAGAAAGTACAGCCGCAGGGCTTAGCTCCTGGTGTGTCCACTTTGCATGAGAGCTCAGCTTGTATTTTTCCCTGACGCCAGGCTCTGCAACTTCAAGCTTAGCACAGCACTTCTGTAGGCCCCGCTCCTGCTGCCCCAGTAAGGACAAAGAAAAAAGGGTGGGACAAAAAAAAAAAAAAAAGAAGAGGGAGGATGGAAATGAAAAAGACCTCAACAGGGGGAAAAGAAGGTTAGGAAAACCTCAAGGAGAAGAAAATAGCTTTCTTGTATTTAAATGCACGACCACATTTCAGTCTGTGCCACTGCCAGGCTGCGTTTTCTATTCTATACAAACATGCTGAAGATCAAACTTACCTCCACATAGTATATGTATAGGTGTGTGTTTGTGAATTGATCCACATACAAGTTTCTTTTTTGCACATGCTCTTGTGTACATAAGTCACTGGGCAAGAGCTTATACTTGTAAGTTTTCATCTGCAATTAGCAATAATGTGATATTTAGCTTTTATATTCACATCCAGTATGGCAGAACTGTCAGCACAACCTGACATATAACTTCTCTAACGCTTCAGACTGATTGTAGAGCTGCGTTATAGTCAACTTGCTTCTGTAGAAAAGAGGTAGATTGAGCCCGGTGATTGCATGTACATGTGCACATGCGTTCACACGTGAGATTGTTTGCATATCTATGATTTAATTAATGGAGTGTGAACGTTTATACAGTCGTCATCAGAAAGATGAGGTGAAAACTACCAACGGGCCACAGTATTAACTTACTTGTCTATTAGTTTATAATATATGACTGCAATACTGCTTACAGAGCAGGCTCCACGGCTACAATAACATGTCAGTGTGTCACTTTGACAAACTAGACTGGACTAGAGGCCTTTGGGTAAGAACCCTGTGTTTTCCCTATAAATAAACTGGATGTTGCCAAGGAGACAGACCCACATATGCGAAGTGTCTGCTGTCTTATCCATCATATTTGGTCTCATTCATGGTCTAGGGCAATAAAGATATCTGTAGTTGTAGGTGAGTAAATCCTGTGATGTAACAAAATGTTCTTGTTTTTGTAGCTTTTATACTCAAGACTCATGGCCACACAGTGCTGTTCAGGGTTTTTTGTCGTGGCCATCGTTCAGTTTCATGGCTTCTCTTCATCTGAGACCCTTTACCCAGCTCAGTGCTGACCATCTCTTTTTTTTGTGCCAACTAAAATGTGTCCCAAAGTACCAAAATTTTGCATCAAATTCCTGGTCAAATTTATAATCTTGAATTTTAGACAATTTTGTCCAAGCAGTTATTCTATAGCTGCTTGCGTTTTGATCTAACTTACATCTAAAATTTAACATGTAAGTGTTTTGGCTTCTTTTGTTAAATAAAAAAAAGGTTTTTGTAGAAAAATATGTTTATATATGGGTTCCAAAACTCATGCATTTATACCAGCACTACCAGAAAAATCATTATCTTTCTCACATCTTCAGAATTGGCATTTTGTGTATGTAACTGTTTAGGATACGCAGACAAAGACATCACTGCTTAAGTCAAAGCAAAGACAATGGACACGGACGTTGAAGCCTTCGAGCTGTAATTGCCTACAGGGTCTATCCCTCTCGTTAGCCTCGATGAAATCTGTCTGCCACTGAGCCTTGACCCTTAACACCCTCTCTTCAGCACCGATATAAAATGGTAGAAAGAGCGTCAGGGCACAGCCACCTTTGTTTTGTCTCTGACTCCTCCCCTCCCTTCCTACCGCCTTCTCTCTTCCATCCTTCCCCCATCCCTCCCATTTAATTTGTCATTCAAGTCCTGACATGAACAAAGTGACTTTAAATCATGCATTTGAGGAGCTCTGTCAGGGTGAGCGCCCACATCATTTCCAACACATAGCCTTGACCCCAGCTCTGCTTTTGCGGGCGGCGATCACTTATTCCTTCCTCAGCTCAGTTCATAAGTCTCCTGCTCTCCTCTTTCTGACCCTGTCCCACATCACTCACCCCTAATATCCCCGGTTACCCTGGAAATATCCTATCGAACCGGTCCCTGCCCTGTCACAAATGTGGTAAATCATCAGCGGCCTGATGAACTGCATGTTTTATTGTCACCACTTCAGTTTTTTTGTCAGTCATGCACTTTGTACTTTACTATGGGAATTTCCTAAACCCACTTGGTTGGCGCTGTGGTACAGTAAAACCTTGTTCATCCTGATGCTTGATGCATGAACTGACCACTTCATTTGGAAAGCAATTATGAACGAAAATTGCTACAGTGCAAAAAAAACATACTTCAAATCATAATTGGGCTTTGAAGCATGTCTTGGAGCACAGCCAATCATCTTTGGTTTGGATTTTCAGAACATTTCAGTGGTCTGAAAACCGTCCATTCCCAAGAGGTTTGGATAAATACAGCTGTAGTTAGGACAGTGGGAGGTTGGGATTAGTTTGTGATTGCAGTGTCAAAGGTTGATAGAAGAGGGTTGTATTATTACAAGCTTGCAGATGGAGACATGTAGTTTGATGGGAGTGGAATGTAGCTGGTCATCATTTACTAACATCCCATTGATCATTTTTTCGCTGGGTATCTGTACGTACTGACCTTTCACATGAAAGGCGTCCAAGTAATGAGAGTAGTGAAGACTGAAATAAGCCTGCCTTAGACCAGAAAGACTATTGATCATTGATCATTAAGGAGGAGACAACACTTCCAATTCTTTGAAGTACCCTGCAGCAGCCTGGGAAAATAGGTTATTGATTTTCTTTCTTTTTTTAACCTCATGTATAGATAATTTGGATGTAATTGATTCAACACCTTATGGGACCGAGACTGTCTTTTCATCTATGAAAAGGTCATGGTTGTATCATCATGGCTGCTGGTTAACCTTGACTTTTGTCCTTGGTTTGTCCAGTGTTATTGGCGAGCATTTCTCAATAACTATTAGATGAATTGCCGTGCAGTCCATTGAGCATTGAACTGTAGCATACTGGCATCAGCATTTAGGTCAAAACACAAGCACAGCCACATCCAGTAGCTGTAGACTCTTTCTTGTTACAGTCATGATAATGGACATGGTGAGCAGAACTGGTAGCAGGGAAAGACACTTGAAACACACTTGAGGCCCAGTTCTGATATGAATAAGCCTCACAGCTCAGTGTTAAAACTGGGAGTGCTTGCTTTCTGCAGCAGTCACTCCACACCTCAGAGTACAGAACAGAACAGCATTGTAGTACTTCCTCCCTGCTGTAGCTGTAGGAAACCTCAGCCTGTACATGAATGAGCCGTGAACTTATGTTTGGCTGAGGACAGCGGGGCCGATATGGCCTATGAGCGAGATACCAAAACATCCTTTGTTGAATCAAAGACCAGTGGCAGCAAGGTAAAGTGTGGGATCAGAGCTGCTCTACTATTCACCATTCGCCTGATGTGACCCGCACAGAAAAAGCCCTCTGGAATAACAGTCTGCACAGCAGCTGAAGTTGGACCGCATGGTGTTTTCAGTAGTAGGTTATAACATCAGACAACAGTCACAGTACAAATGACCCCTGAAAAGCAATAAATGAACGGCTTTTATAAATCATAACCAATAAACAGATCATCATTTGAGCAAAAAAAAAAAAAAAAAACTCAAATTTCACCTTTTCTGAAACATTTCACTTGGATCGTCAAGGGTACTGTCTTTCTGGAGAGCAGATTTAAGAGTTTGGGTTGGCAAGACAACACAATTCCCAAAAATTGGGCGTGAGACCAAGGGCAGACAGATTTAAAGCAGGGATATAATTTGTTCTGCAGAAGTTCTGACACCCTATGTGTGTTAGTTCTTAAATTGGCTAGCCTTGATTCTGTATTAGAAAGCAGAGTCTTCTCACACTTTCTGGTCTGTTTTTCAAAATGAACTCCTGGAAAACTAATTCTTAAATGGAGAGCCTTTTTTTTTTTTTTTTTTTTTGTCTTAAAACCTCAGAGTGCATGAGCTGAATGAAGGATTTGTAGAGAATAACTAGCTTCGCATAAAGAATAAAACATCCTTTGACAGTTTGGAAAACAGGCTTATTCACTTTCCTGCTGAGAGTTAAATTAGAAAATCGAAACCACTCCTATGTGCGTACAGCAAATATTACTACTGCAGCCAGTTAGCTTAGCTGGGCTTAGCATAAAGACCGGCCAATAAATAGTTCACCCCATAACTTTTACATTACCTTTCAAGAGAGCCAGGCTAGTTTTTTTCCCCCCGTTTCCAATGTTTATGCTAAGCTAATTGGCTGTTTCATATTCACCGTATGAGTGGTATCGATTCTCTTCTTTTCTAATTATTAGTGAGTAAGTTTAACAGGTCTATTTTCCAAGATTGCTTTAAATATTACAGACCATAACTATCCTGTTCATTTGATGTATAACTTGGTACAAGTTATGTCCCTTTTGTTAATCCCACCTTTTCTTTTTTCTTTTTTTTTTTTTGTCAAATGCTGTTTTACCAGAGATAATTTAGTGTTGCTGATTATGACAGCCTGTAAATGTGGGTTTTTCCAGGCTGAAAGCATTCACATGTGAGCAGGAGCAGGTCTGTGATGACAACAGCACTTGCTGTTCCCAGTAGATTTCCTCTGCTGTTGCACATCACCTTACTTAACAGCATGTATTACAGGATGATGTTCCTCTTGCCCAAATATGTCTTAAATTAACACTTGCATGGGAAAAAGTTTTCTGTGGAGCACAGCAACTTTTTGCTACTGACGCAACACATCTTTAAAAAGCTGTTTAGTTGTATAGTGCAATACACTCATTGTCATTTTTAAGCTTTTTCTTTGTAAATTTCCATTATTACTTGTCAAATCTTTATAATCTTGTGTATTTGTGTTGATTTTTCTTATTTTAAGTCTGTTACAATGTGTTGAACAATGAACAAGCCTTGTTTCGAGTGTAGGAGGAATACTGGAAGTGCATTACATGGCAACCTTGTGAAAGCCCACGGTCTTGCAGCAGCAGCTTACCATAGAAGGAGAATATGCCACTTTCCCGTTTCCTCCCCCAGTGACTGAAGCAGGAAGTGACCACACTGAACACACCCACTTGGCAGGGTTCGCTGGTGACTGATTTCCTGTCTGTTACCCCGGGAGACCAAGAAAGGCAGTCCAGCAGGGCTCCATTAAAGCCAATTAGCGAGAATGCATTCTAAAACTGCATCAGAAGCCAACTCCAACCCACCAAATGTCACTAATTATGGTGCTTTTTTAAAGCTGAAATTACAGGAGCGGGGTGCTGTTTCTGTGTGCTGTAGGAACTGCATCGTCATCTAACTCTCACTTTTTTAGAGCAGGGTTACTGAGGTTATGAGAGGGGACGTGCCGTTGTAGCCACCACAGACTAGTAACTTGGGGTTTGTTTTCTAGTCAGCCCACCAAATTATAAATCTCTCAGTTTGGGGTATGTTTGGGGTTTTTGGTTGGGGATTTTTCTCCTGGCAAAAGTCCACATGGCAGACTTTCCTTGTCACACACCAGTTAACATAAACAGCATGTATTTAATGCCCACATAATACAAAAAAAGTCTAAACAAGGCCCATCCCAAGACCATCCAAAGTAAATGCCCAAAGCTCCTAAACACAAGTCCAGAATATGGGATTGAATGAACTGGCCTCTGTTTGCATTTCCACCAACCCACTCCACTTATGAACAAGGAGTTGCTCTAATCTGATCTGATTTCTTTCTTTATCCAATATTCTATTGCCTCTAGGCTGCTGATAGCGTAGATCCCAGTCCAAACCCGAGCCATAGCCCGGCCTCCTGGAGACGACAGCTACCCAGCAGCGACTCACACCACCTGGGGAGCTCTTATGACCGGGCATCTAGGACAGCAGGGGCCTCTTCCAGAGGAGGGGACCTATGGTCCAGTCGGAGTCAAGGATCAGGGGCCAGAGCAGAGGGAAGAGGTGGAGCGGGGAGCCGACCATGGAGCCATCGTCAGACTGATCATCATTAGACCTCTTTGGTCATAACAGGACTTCTACAACAAAGAGAACAGGTGGGCTTTTCTTGTCTAGTCTCCTCTTCTCTTCTGACTCCTGAAACTCATTAATTAAAGGAAACAAATTTTTATTACCCTTGTGCAATGATGCCACATCTCTTAAGAGACTTTCACATCAAATTTGCAGCATGAAGCTGCAGCTTTGTGGTGGTTTAATAAGGGTCACCCTCCCACCCCACCCCACCCCGCAACCCCTCAGCGGGAAGCCCCAGGTTCACTGCATTTAACAGTCTGTCGAGGTGTCCTTAAAGCTAGACAATACTGCAGCTAAACCTGCAAGCTAACCTCGAGAGAAATCCTCTTTTTTTAAGAGTTCGTAATTTCCAAATATAAAATTTCCATAATATAGAGCTCTGTCGAAGCTGGAATTTCCTTGAAGGACAAATTTAAACCCATTTAAATATTCATTAATTAATTCTTCATAATTGGAAACTTGAAACAAATTTCACATTTTTCCATGTCCAGCTGATCTGCTGTGCACTGACTAAAAGACTCCCTTGAAATTAACAGTAATAATTTTGTTTGGAAGTGTACCAATTGAACACAGGCTCTATTTTCCCCATAATTAGTGCCCAATTACCTTGTTCTTTCTGGCAAACTTTCTACCAAACTATGGACAAATCATGTTTCTAAAGATGAATAGTTGTGATAAAGTATTAAAATATGAAAGATTAAGCAAGATCTTTTTCTTCATTTTTCCTTAACAGCACTCCATTAAGCTCTCAACGGCAAAAGCAGAGCCAAACACCAGTCTCCCATCAACTAATGGCTGCACCTATTACCACCATCTCCAACATCTGCAGCTCTTATAACAAACAAAGAAAAGAAAAATAGCAGTTGCAGCCATATAGAACAACAAACCACACATCTGACCCTGAGCGTCCACGGAGATGTGAACGGCTCTTCCTATCCGGAACTTTCTCTGTCCCAAAAGAGGCATAAATGGAAAGACATTGCCTGCACAGCGTTGTGGAGGTCGCCTCACCAGCCCACCTATCCTCTTCTGCTTCTTGTGTTGGATGTATTATAGTGTAATCCCGAAATTTGACAAGGGAGAGGCTGGCTTGCTGTGGACATCTGGAGATTTTCCTGCCTGCCAGAGAGGGTTTAAATACTCTTAGAGGAAGAAGGACTCAAACATTGAGAATGCCTTTCTCAGAGGACCATTACAGCTGGATATGTCGCTTTTGAATCACAATTTCAACCTTTTCTTGGATGCTGAAAAACAACCCAAACTGCAGTTAACAACAGTACGATGTTAAAGACGTATCTTCATCTCGCAGGGGCTGGATGTTCATGCAGAATACTTCACAAACTAAAGGATCTTTACCTTAAATGTGACCAAAAACAGGAAGCGAATTACCCTCTCTGCATATCCGTATCTCTTTTTCTTACTGAGCTCATTTTTGCTTCGACAATTCAGTCAGACCGTCTACTTTTCTTTATGCTTTTCTCACACATATATACACAAACAAATGCACAAACAACAAGCGAACACATGCACATTTCAAACTTTCGGGTTATTTTTAACCAGTATCACCACTTTTTGGCATGCAGTGACCTCAAACTGGATTTAATTTGGGGTCTGGGATGTTTTGCGTGAACATTTGCATGTTTCTAAGTAATAAATGAAGAGCACTTGAAAGATTGTGACTCAGCATGCACTCTGCTTAAAGGATTGCTGGTTTGCCGCATTTTTGGAGTGCGCACACACACAAACACACACACAAACACTCATTATTTTTGACAGACCGGGACCTTATTTATGTTTTTTGTCATTTTCACCAGTTGTTTAGATTTTTTTTGTAATTCGCTTCCTGTTCTGCATCATCCTTTCCCTTTCTGCTCAACCATATCAAGAAGAAAAGTAGTTTGCACGTAATGAAATGCAATGCACATGTAGAAAAAAAAACAAAGAATGATTGGGGGGGCATTGTTTATAACCTCAAACCATGCTACAGTTTCCATGGTGCTTTGTCTTACAGCTGTTGCAACTGTCCTCAGTCATGTATTTTGAGAGAGCCATAGCAAAGTGGAGTTTCTGATTAAACTGAACATTGGACTTTGGATTACCAGCAAACCTGGCCTGGCAGGGCGGACATTTTTTTCAGGGCTGCTGTAAATACTGTGTACACGCCAGCCAGTCATAGGAAAGACACAAGAGGGTTGGACTTTTAACAACGAGGAACTGACAGTCCAGCTCGTGTGCGACTGGGTTCGCCGTGCGAATCGTCCAAGCTTTCTCCGTTTCATATTTCTATAGAGGTGTATTATTTTGTTACATCATAAAATATCAACTTGTGGTTGGTATGTTGGAGCAAACTCTCATTGGTGGGGGGCCATAGCAGCAATGGGGGGTGCCATAGAAAGTGATTTAGTTGTGGCCAGTAATGAAATAAGTTGTTTTGATTGAGGTAAATGGTGCATATCTATGACAGAAACCTCACTGACATTGTTTGAGTCTTTCAACAGGATCCTGCTGGATTTTAGGTTTAACACACAAGATTAACTGCAGTATGACAGATGATGTAAACTTTGATCCCAGAATAAAATTTATGAACGACGCTAAGGAATGCAGCTGAATGACCAATTGCTTAATGGCTTGATGCACCAGTCCCAACAGGACAGTGTTGTTTGTCTCCTCAATCTTCTAAATGGCAGACAAAGTAACATAACCATAACTGTGACAACTCTGAACATGTGGGATCTGCTGAAGAACTTTCAAAGCCTGCTCTTCATTTGGTTGTTCTGCTGTGATGTATTTAAGTGCTGTTGAGTCAGACCCCGCTGGGGATGATCTGGTTCAGTCTTATTACATTTCTCAGTTCTTCTGTATTCTACCAGCCGCCATCTAGCTGTAATATTTATTAGTCTCCATAAACAGTATGTACAGGTTCTTATATTGTGAAGAGGTCCGCCTGTGGGCAGGAGCCCGGTCTGTTGCCGCTTTGTCACTTTACTGTTTATGCAAGCAGGAGATTATATGCAATCTAACTGCCCCCCCACCCACCCACCCCCCATGCAATGTCTGTAACTGTCAGTCATCATTCGGATCATACAGATCATAGGTGGTGGCTGTGTAGTGATAAGTCCAAACTAAATGTCTGTTTACCTTCAAAATGTACATTTTCACTAATGTTAATTTACATTACTTTTACCCTTTGTTAGAAATATCAACAGTATGTTCATCTGTGCCTTGAGATACAGTGAGAAAGCTAGATTGTCCCAATAAGTTCAGACTTGCACCATGTGCTTCTACTTGCTGAGCAGATAAATGACATGTAGTACTGGTTGTAAGGTTAATTTTTTTTTGAACTTCATATATATTTTTTACATTTGGAGTGATTGTATTTTGGTTCAAGCGAAAAAAATACTTTCTCCGTGGGAACTCCTCCCTGAGTTACGTCAGAACAAGGTTCCCTGAGAAAAAGCCTTTTTTTTTTCTAACCCAACTTTAAAGTACCCATTTAAAGAATATAGACCGCACCACCCAAAAAGCTACATCCTCTAGATTTGTCTGTCAGTCGGAGGGTGCAGCTCAACCTCAGAAGAGAGTGTCACGTGTCCTCTTCATGGCCACTGCTTGACTTTTTGATAGAGCAAAAACAGACCAGACATACTGTTCAGAGCTCTTAGTGCTCATGCCAAGACTTGATGATCATATGGTCCTTCTGTGCTTTCTCTGTTATTGTTTCTACTACCACTCTTCTCATTTGCCATCTCCTCCCCAATCTCTCATCCTTTTAAACAGTTCCAATTTTCCTTTCAGTATTTCGGAGAAGCCAAATGTCCCTTTCTTCTCTTCCTCCTTCGTCCTCTGTTTCTCAGCATCTTCCTCGCATTCTCATTTCCGAAAGGGAAAGCCATGGTCCCAAACAGCGGTGACCAAGTGTTGTTGGTTCAGAGAGTTGTTTTATTGAAGGCCAGCGGCCTGTCACCAAATAGTGATGGGCAGCTCCTTGGGTAGCTGAAAGGTCAGAGGTCAGGACTGCATCTAATCCTGTCTCTACATCTTGGCTCAGGGCTTCTAAATACAGGGTAGAGGAAGACGGACAGGCTGGCAGTGATGTCCACTTTAGGGATAATTAAAACAGCCGAGGGTATCGAATGTCCAGTTCTGCCAGCGCTCATGCTGCCAGAGTTACACGTGATCATCCATCGGTGTGTACGTGTTGTCATTAATATGTCAGTGAGGGCTCTTGTTCAAAGCTGGACATGTAAACTGGTGGGTTGTAAGCTGCTGCACATCCCAGAGTAAGAGGGTGCTGAGTGACTTATGTGCGCGTGTTTGCCAGAATTGACAGCAAGGCCGGGGATTGTTTTTATTTATCTTTAAGGCTGACATCACTGCGGGTCAGGATTACTATATATAGCAACTTGGTGATGCAAATGTTAACACCAACCCTCAACCATCATCCTGCCTTATGGCCTCCATAAATTTTCTCTTGTCACTTCCTTCCCTCCACCCAATAAATGCTACTCTACCATGCAGACAATCTAACACTTTCACTTGTCCTTACTACTAAACTAAACGGTGTGACCTCTACCATTTGTGTCTGTTTCACTTTCCTTTCTTGCCTTCTCCTCTTAAACCTTTCACCCCCCCCCACCCCAACACACCCTGAAGAGAGTACTCGAGTCGGGGGTCCCAGGAAAGGCCCAGCTGTTGGAACCTATAGGTTTTATGACATGTTGGAGGGTTTTCCTCCTGGAGGCCGGCTTCAAAGAAAGCAGGGCTTTTTAAAGGGCAAAGTTGAAACTCCATCCTCCGCTACGCACGCTGCGTTTCTTCCTTATAAGGCCCTAAAGTACACTAACACCACCGCTAACCCGACTGTACATCCACTCCGTCCATTGAAACCCTAGTTGGACCCTTCAGAATAAAGACCAGTTGTGACTTTCGGGCATCATGCCACCACTCACATGTTACAGGTCTTATTGGTTGCTTCCAGTGGTGAGAGCCTGCGTAGTGTTGAAACGGTGGAATGTACTGACTGGTCATCTGGGACTCGAGTGAGGACTTTACAGGTTTCAAGACTTCTATGGCTTTTGTGGCGCTATAAAGAAACAGCTGGGTGCTGTTTCAGAGTATGTCGGTTCCTCTGATCCGTGAACGATGGCAGCTTTGCAAACCATTTTGTGGAATCAGAGAGTCAGTATGATAGCTTCTGCTAGAGCAGAATATTTTGGACATGGGTTTGGATGCAACGATTGAAAATTCCTACAAGGAAAAGAGGTGGTTAAGCAGTGGAGAGACAAGAGGCTGCTTCTGCTTTCCTGCTCAAATACCAGCTATAGACTTAACAGAAATCCTCTAAAGCTCTGCTGGTGTATGTATAAACATCCGTTATTTACAAGTCATTGTTTTTCCCTTTTATAAAGTAGACTAGAATGTACTTTGTGGAGATTGGAGTGGCAATGCAGGAATGGCTCATGGGCAGTGAGCAGGCCCTTTTCCTCAAAGGCCTTCATTGTAAAACCAGGGTCATGGTGTCATTGGGTGGCGTAGGCTGTAATCTGCACTTAACCAGCACTTAACTTTAAGACCTCAAACGACTAATGCCCCCTTTAGTCCCCTTTGTCAAAAAGTTTCCTTTTCCTTTTGTGTCCCAGAATTGTACTTTTAAGTCTGATTTCAGTAGCCGTTTGCTGAATGTACCACAGTCAGGTATGTGTTTTTTGCACCAGCCAGATTAGAGTATTTAAGAATCATGTCACCAGTTAAAGAAAGGAAATTGGCGCGCACTCAGTGAATGAATCATGTTTGAACATATTTCTCGAGGCATGGCGCCCTGTTATGCCTGCATCTCAGCCTTCTAACGTAGTGCCAAAATCATTCCACAGTATTTCCAGTTTACAGTGAGAGACAGTGCCAATTTTTCCCCAAGATTGATACCCTGTCTCTACGATACTGAAATAAAGGGGAAATAATCAATTTGAGGGGTTTTTCTTTTTTTGTTTTCTGCTTATGTATGTTTTTATTTCTTTGTTAAACAAAAGATGTCTTATTTTGGAAGCTATATCGGATAGATTTTATTTAAGGAAAATCTTGTACTTTTGTAAAGTGGGCCTTATTATTGAAATATATTAAGTATTTGTCCATCTTGATTTTAAAAATGATATTTTTTGCAAGATAATGTATCTTCCTCATTGTTATTACACTCCTGGAGAGTACTTCTTCCTGTATTTTGTGTTTGTTATTTTAATGCGAGACATTTCTCATGACCTGGAGACATGATGACACACCATGGATGAGAGAGAGAGACAGTTTAAAGGAGAGAGAGAAAGAGAGAGAGAGAGAGAAGCCAGGGTTGTGTCATAGTCATTCAAGAAAGAGAGCTATGTGCATTTTATCAGAGCTGAGCAGGTCAGCAGTGCTGAGTGGTTCACCATGTGTCGTCCCGTGTTTTTTTTTGTTTTTTTTTATCGGGGCCCATTCAGTGCTCCGGCCTCCTCGCTGCTCTGTTCTCCCTCGCTCATAAATTCAGGGTTTGTACATCTTCTGTGCTGTATGTTTGTAAGTGCTGCCAAAGAAAGAAGCATGCAGGCCCCAGACACACACGTGTATATATAAACACACACACATAATCTAATAGGCGTAATCTAATAGGAATTAAAAGACGATATGTATAACTGGATCTCATCTCTCTTACTTACATACATACATACATACATACATACACAGACACAAGAATTTCAGGCCTGTACAATCAACTGTTTTTAACGCTCTGTGTTTATAAATTCATGTGCAGAAGAAGGAGACTGACAGACAGAGGTGTCAAACACAAAAATGTGTGTAATGAAATCAGATCAAAAGGGTTTTATGATTTACCATTGCTTCTCAGTGTCAGTAATACCAGGTGGACTGTGTCGGGAGGCTGTTCCTTTTTTTTTTCTGTTTTAGACTTAATACATTGTGCATGTTTTAACCTTACTGTGGCTGGCGCACTCTGCATGTAGGTCTCTTGAAGCTGCCAACTGTACAGCAGACCATATGTATTCCAATAAAAATAAAAACCAACCTGTTTTTAACACGTCTCTGTGTTGGAACCTGTGTGTGTGTGTGTGTGTGTGTGTGTGTGTATGTGTGTATGTGTGTGTGCGCGCACGCGTGCAAACCTGATCATGTGTAAAAACCCAAACCACGTATGTTAATCTCTTTTATACATTTTGCAGAACAAGCTCAGCAAGTTTTGATTTCATAGTGGTACACCCTGTGTGTGTGTGTGTGTGTGTGTGTGTGTGTGTGTGTGTGTGTGTGTGTGTGTGTGTGTGTGTGTGTGTGTGTGTGTGTGTGTGTGTGTGTGTGTGTGTGTGTCCAATCCCCTGGTTTGTACAGAGGAAAGAGGGTGAATAGCAGCTGACGTTATGCAAAATAAGCAGGCAGACAAATGAGGCAAATTGGTCAGGTACAAAGAGGAAAACCACAAGCTGTTGTGGAATGCAAAGTCAGCACGCACAGCTTTCTCTTAAACAGCTACGCCTTGCTTTGTGAAAGCCAGCACTTCTATTCTTGCGACAGCAGGTTTCTTTAAGTAATCATCTATCTACACAATCTAGTCTTATGAACCTGACTTTTCATATGAAAATAACCAGCCCCTGGTTCTCAGTTATTTTATTAGCAGTCATTATTACTCAGTGCATCTCAGGAAGGATTTTTCTGGTGAAGCCTTTTCATTTTGCTCACTTTATCGCATGCTGCCTGGTAATTTACTACGTTTCCCAGAACAGTTTTGGGCAAATAAACAGAACAAGCCTGAACGTGTTGAATTGAGCTTCATGGCTTTTATGTGTAGATGCATAGTTGTAGAGCAAAAGATCATCATGGTCTGGTTGAGAACAAACGAGGTCCCTGCCTGCATTGCATTCAGCTGTATTGAAGCTACTATTATTGGACAATACTTACTATTGTTTGTATTATCCCAATGTTATCAAACTGTATTTTACACATTTTTATAGGCAGTTG